ATAATGCCACCAAGTATTCCCGCTTCTTTCAAGAAACCATATCTCATGATACACTCTTGCATGGTTTATTCATTGAAATACGATACATGCCATCTGTAGCCCCATGTATTGTGAATTACAGTACATGACAACACATTAATTATTGGGGGGTTTACTAGAAGACCTCAAAGATCCTTTCCAACTGATATTCTATACTCTATGAATTGTGATATTTCTGAATTCTTCTGCATTTTCATAGATGATCACTAGATCAACTGAATTGCAGGTATGTCCATAAAGCTGTTCTCTTACTGAATTCTTTTAAGAATACAAGCAGTGTCATTCTCAAAGTATTGCAACTTATCTTAGCTCCTGTTCCCAACAGAACTTACTTACCTGCCTTTGGGAAGTCAACAAAGATATTTTCCCATAGGGCATAAGGGAAAATGTCTGTTTCCTACTGTTGTTCCCTAAAGTAGATAAGCAAGAGTTATGCGTTTGATGTAGTTTATTACCATCACAACTAAAGCAATGCTAACCTCATCTTCAATAAATTGATCTTAGCTTTTGAAGTAATCTAAGTTATAATTATAGCTTATCAAAATGAGTCTCACAGTTTTATTATCCAGTGTAACAAAGAGATTTCTTTTCATTTTTTCCTGACTTTACCACTGTTATTTACCTTTTTCTTAGATTTTAGCATGATCAAGAGTAAATACATTTTCTTAATTTTTTCATTTGTTGCAGATGTATTGTCCTGTGACACTGCTGTTTAATTTTCAGAGCATACCTATCATAGATATATCATGATATCTAACTCTTTGTCTATAAGATTTCTCAAAATTATATTATTGTATGTATGTGTATATGCACATGTGTGTATGCACACACACATCTTCACTCAAGAATATCAAGAATTAGACGCAACCCTGAAAAATCAGCATATTTTATTTTTTTAAAATTTGCACTGTTTCTTCTTCTTTCTTCTCTGCCTCTTATTCCTTCTCCTGCTCCCTTTAAAATCTGCACATATTGGGGGTGAATGTCTACTTGACTTTTCATTAGTTTCAAGCATGTAAATCAGGTTATTTATAGGCTTGCTCTACCAGGTCTGCAGATCTACAAATGTATGGATTTTTAATCTTTCAGTCAGTTCCCTGTCCCTTCGGAGCCATAGCAAATGCAAATAAAAGGATCAGCTACATATTATATTTGATCACATGGTATCTCTTCCATGGTTGTCCATTCCCTTAGTAAAGTCTTTTGGAGGTAAGTCTCAAAAAATATTAGCTGAAGCAAGTTCTCCAAAAACCAAATCTTTCCCACATCCTTCCCTGCAGTTCCTCTTTAAGAGGTGTCAGCATGGCTGAAAGAATGAAGTGGCTCCACATTGTTTGCCTGAACTATTATGTGCTTAACATTTCCATGACAAAAGTGCCACTCGACTTCTCCCCGATTAATGCAGCTTGAGGGCTCTTGTCCTCCTTTAATAAAACGTTGTTGAAATCATTTATTTAGAGTCCCTGGTTACTACTGGGAGAATGACCATCTTTGTGCCAAAATATAGTGTATACAGTTCACTATTTTGTAGTAGATCATTCCATTATTTGAGAAATTGATTAAATGGATGCCTTAGAAAGTATTTATGCTAATACTGCATCACTTTTGTAAGGGTGAGGCTTTTCAACTGTCTGCTCCATCCAATACCTCAAGTAAAATACAGTAGGCCTGCATTCACATATGCAACCGTTTCATCTTTTCTTCTGAGCCTAATGTTAAGTTTTATGTTAACTTCTTCCCTTCTGTGGTATATGTACATACATAGACATTTTCTCTTATTTGCTTCTTTATGATTTACCTGATCCTGTATTCTGCTATATAGGGACCAGACATATTGAAATGTTCTGTCTATCCAGCATTCCCCTGCATTGAATAAAGTGTGGAATAAAGTGTTGTGCTAACTCAACTAAATCAAAACACACACACACACACACACACACACAGACACACTTTCTTGAAATTGCCCAAAGCCCATTTTTTAAATTTTCCCAGCATGGTTACAAGATTGCTGAACATTAGAATGCAATTAAACGTAGGCTTTTATTTAATCCCAAATTCCCAATTAAGGCGGTTTATGTTGTTTGAAATGAAGAAAATGAATGATAGTGTTAAAATGAATATACTCATATTTTTGTCAGAGCTATTACATATTACCAGTAGAAAACTTCTAGATGCAAATATACCACATTTGCATCTAAAATGGGTAATATTTTTAGCATTCAGAGAACATAAGAATTAGGATATTCAGTTTCACACAGGGTGCAGTGGAATCAGAATTTTAAGAACCATAATTCTAGGGAATCATCAAATCCTGTTTCAAGTTACCTATATACTATTATCAACACATAATACAAAAGTGGTCTAAAATATAAAATTTCTCATTCCACATTGTGATTTCCATGTGATTTTTAAAGGAATAATCTTCTCCATTTTTAAAGTTTTGTCTCTGATTATTGTCAGCTGCCTAGAGTTATGGAGAATTGGGAGCATGTAAATTTAATAAATTATTATTATTAATCTCACAACTTGGAAATACGTTAGTTAAGACAGTTTGCTTCACTTTCAGCCATTTTGTTTGCATATTTATTTTCAGGTGATCCATGCTTGCCCACGTACACTTTTATATATTGTTACAAATAAACAGAGACCTTATGTTATATCCATTGTGCTTGTGTACAAAAGCCTCACAGTGCTCTTGGGTGATCAGTGAAGCTTGAATCTGCCTCTATTTACTGTATGGTCACTGTCAGTTCAATGAACTGCCTTCTTATTCTCCACCATTGTCTCACACTCCCTTAAACATTTGTCACTGAAGTGCCTCCAAAGACAAATAAACTGTCACTGAGAATTCAAATCTGGTAACTGGGAAGAAAAGGGGCACAAGGGTATCCAGTGGATTATTTTACATGAAATGGGGAGGGGGAAAGTAATAAGAGACACAGTGGGAGGGAGGAAGCATTCTTTGCCCCCACTCTTTTGGTCAGGGTGGGTCAAAGCTTGTAAATATTTCAGAAATCTTGTAAACATCAAAGAAGTCATTGCTGTATCTGTTTCTCAAGTATCCTTTGAGACACATCCTATTTTGGGCAAATCTCACCTGCTGGATAGAATAGTGTTGAATTGCAGTTGCTCAAGATAATAAAACTCTTAGAAATTAATAAAAGCAAATCTTCAGCAGCAAAGTGAAGGGATTTTTTCTTATTATTTCCTTCACTATTATTTTTATTTATTATCAGTATTATAAAATCATCTATAAATGTCTCAAAGAAACTAACAAGGAAATTGACTGTGATAGATATCAATGTCTATAGAATGACCATCTCATCCATTTGATGAGCTCCAGATGTGCTATACTTCACAATTACTAATTCTCAGCCATTAGAATCAGCCATGCAGACTAAAAATTGTGGAGTGGCATCCAATACATCTGGGAGGCACCAGGTTGTTGCTGAGAATTTTGGGGTGAAGACATTCAATACATCAATTAGGATCCTTTTTTTCTCTGTGGAACTCAACTCCAGTTGGTTTTTATTTAAAAAATTGCAAAGAATAAGTTTAGAATTCTCATTCCAGATGCCATGTATAGGCATCTACTTCTGACAGGAATTTCTCAAATTAGGACTAACTAGGAACTTTTAGTTTCTGTACCAGGAAATAATTCTGTTCCCCAATGTATTTTCTCTTTGAGAAAAATCTATGGTTCAACCTTCTTCCCCAAGAGTATAAAGAATGGGTAGCTATTACCTCAGATCAAACATCAAAGTTGACTTTAAAATATCTCATTTCCTGTGATTGAAGAAATGAATTTAAGTTCATCCTGAAGACTAGAAACTCAGTGGAATAAGTGGAACTTTTTAATGTCAGGTTCAATGAACTAATGAAAACAGCAATATTCTTTAAAAAATGATATAGTGCATTGTGGTGGATACTAAATTTACAATTTTGTTAATTGCTTCTAACAACTCTTAGGTCTGATGGCTTTCACATACCTAAAAATGTTATCTAAGAAAACATAACAGTTCTTGCTGATCTTTCTTCCTCAGCAGTCAAGGTTTATTTGTTGCAGCTTTTAATCTTCTGACTTGTCTTCCAATCACAGCATTGAAAAAGAAGTTTTAAATAAACAGCAGGGATACAAGATAAATAAACTTTTTTTTAAGCAAGTGCCTAGCTTGGCACAGTTCAAACTCAATCCCCTGAGGACCAAGCTCTCTCTTTTGTGTTAATGTTTAAAAGATTTTCAAATGCTGAGAGTTTATTCTTACTGCAAACATTTCTATTTACAAGGTCAAGTGTATCAGCACTCGAGACAGCTTAAGAGCGTAATTATTTATCTAAGGGTGTTTGAGTGTAGATCAGTAGCTCTGGCAGAAAACCAGCCTTCAGAGGGCTGCAAAACAACTGCTAAGGCCAGTATAAGACACAGGCTTGTCATTGTTGGTCCCACATGGTTCATTATATCTGCTCTCTCCTGCATGAAAAGAAGATGAGCTGGTTGGCAAAGTGGTTTCAATTCAGCAATCATTATTCTAAATATATTACTCTATATTTGATTATGGATTTGGTACTTATCTACAAATAAGAGGCTTTCCTATGAATTGCCATCCACAAAATTTTTGTATTTCAGTGAAAAAATTGGGACAAAGCATTGGTTCTGTGGAAATGCAAAATACATAACTGGGATAGCTGTCTCCAATCATACACCAACTTGTTGCCATGCTAACATAATTCATATCTGTATCTACTATCTTTGCTCAAAGGAAATATTTTTTGAAGGGAAGCATTACCAACTTACTTAAGATATAGCTGGCAAGTTGTTGAATTGCTCAGAGGAATGCCACTGAGTCCCATGAATTTATTTCATAGTAAGTAATTTGAAGTACAAAATCTATACCCAACTATTTCCATTTATATTCCACTCTGGTCCTATTTGGAGTGGTTTAAAAACAACTTCACCATAATTCTTCTTTAAAAATTTCTCTTTACTAATTTACACATAAAAATACACAATCAATAGATATTTAAACATAGGGCCTTTTCACACATTCTATAAAAATACAATGTTTAAGGAAGTCCAGAGAAACATGTATACAATTCTACAAAGTTCATAAATCCCTCAAACAATACAAAATTTAGACCTATTTGAAAAAGCTCTGTACATTATTTCATTTAGGGAATTACTTTTGTTTGTATTCCTTAACATACAAAATCATATCTGCCTCTTTGCAATAAAAGAATAACAGATGTATTATTTTTTGTAGATGGGGTACATTTAAAACTTTTAATTTCTTAAAAAATAAATTATTCCCAAAGTATACAATTTATAAAATTCTATGTACAAGTAACAGCTGGTAATAAAACCAGTTTTAAATACATTTTATATAAAATTTACCAGAGGTCAGCCCCCTGATAGGATTAGAAGCAATATAACTTTTCAGGATATTTTTACATATTGACTTTAAAAAGTGTTTTTTGAAGATGGCAGTGCAGAGCTCTTTAGAGACAAAGGTTGCATTGTTCAACAGCCAACAGTTCAGCATTTTTCCCCTCCTAGGCTGAGGCAAGAGAGATTTGCTGGTGAACTTATGTATTGCAATTCTAACTGATGCAAAAACTAATACAAACCCTGAACAAGAAAAGAAACCATTACTGTAGGAAAAACAATGAACTTACATATCATCCCAGACATCTAGAATGAACTTGTGTATCATCACAGTGATATAGGAAATTTATGTATCTGTCTTTACTACTTCCCATAAAACCTGGAGGCTAATTAAACTTTCCAAGGCTATGCATCAAGAAAATAAAACTGAAATATGTGCAATTATCACTGATGACATACATGCCAGTATTATACTTCATTCTGTAAAAAAATTCCTAAAGTTACTATATATGAATCTTTGAAATAACTCTGAAGCCTCTTCCGTCTATGCCTGCACACCTAGCCAATTAAAAAGAATCAAAACTGCATCTTCAGTCAAGCGTAATTATGAATTCTATGGATGTTAACTGGATGGTAGGAGTCACTTGTTGAATTGTTATGCAAAGCAGCACTTTTGGAAGCATTGCAGGGAAATCTTCCCAACTTCACTGAGGACAGCTTGGAAAAAAAGCAACCATTGGTACATGTACTGTTTTCAAGTTGACTGTAACCAAGAGACAATCTGCTTAGTGTTGTTTAAAGTCATTTGCCAAATGGCAATAATTTGCATAGTGCACGTGTATAGGTATGCCATGCATACTGTATATTTCCTAGTTGGATGCATACAGGATTGAGGAAAAAGTCCAGCTGTATGTAATTAGGCAGCTGCAAGTGGTGATGTTGTGCACACAGCAAAATAAACACTGCACAATCTACACCTGACATGCATAGTCAAAACATTTCTTAAGATCTCATAAAATAACTAATGTGCAATATATGTAAAACCTACAGTTGAATTCCAAAGCATATTCATTTTGAACATCAACTGGAAACCCTTCTAAAAGAAAAGTGTCAATAAAGGAAGGGTCTAGTAACAAACTCCACAGCTTTTTAATTGTAGTAATTCCCTTCCTTCAAAAAGGGAATTTAATACAACAGGAGCATCCCTTTCAGGCATCATTTTAAAGAGAGAAGCTGAGGAAAGAATATGCAAATGCCCACTGTGAGGAAAATTCTTTACACAACTAGGAACACACAGCAAACCAAATCAGGGCCAAGGGGACTGGTCAACTTTGAGGCTTCCAGCTGCTTCTCCACCAATGAAGCTAGGAAGGCCAGGCAAGATGCTCTAGGATACTGGCCTGTTTTGGGGGATTCCTCTTCCTAAGATACTATGTTCCTTGGCAGATATTCTGCCATCCTGTTGAGAGTCAGAGACCCTCCCTCGCCCGGCCAGTAGAAACCCCCACGCGGGACAAGCGCCACAGGCCACACCACCTTTCTTTCCTCTCAGCTCGGCAACGGCTCCCCTCAAGAGCCTCTCCTCCCAAGGGTAGGCTAGGAGACCAGCAGCAGAAAAATGGAGGCGAGCGAGAGCAGCGCCCAGGCGGCCGCAGGGACCGTCCCGCCGCCCTTGGGGTTCCTCGGGACAGCCACCTCGCCGTCCGCGACGGCGCCCATGTAGTCGAAGTAATTTCTGGTGGGCTGGCTGGGCTCCTCCTCGTAGTCCTCTTCGTAGTAGTCGTCGGAGACGCCGTCCGAGGCGCCGCTGCTGCCGGGCCCCAGTGCCTCGGCCCCGAAGCACAAGCGAGCCATGTTCTCCTTGATCGACTCACAGATGGGCCGCTCCAGCCCGTCGCACACGCAGTCGTTGAGCAGCAGCGCCTTGGGCACGGCCAGCATGTCCCTGATGACGGCCCGGCACTCCTGGGTGCAGCGGAGGCCGTTGAAGAGCTTCCCGCAGGACATCATGTAGCGGTTGAGAGCCATGCTGCACCGGCTGTCCCAGTCGCAGCGCCTCCGCGCCTCCGTGCAGCCGATCACGCCTCCGCCCGCTCCCCCAACACCGCCGCCTCCGCCTCCGCCGCTCGTCCGAGGCAAGCACGGCTCGATAGCGCGCTTGGTGGCGCGGCACTTCTCGTCCTGGTCGCAGTCGCAGTCCTCCAGCGCCGGGCCCCGCCTGGTGTGGTTGAGCTGGATGAGCGCCGAAATGCAATGGCTCGGGCACCGCCGCCTATTGGAGGAGGAGGACGCCGCCGCAGAGGCGGCAAAGCCGTCCCCCTCGGCCATGAGCACCGGCGCGCACGCCTCGGCGTACTGGCTGTAAGCGTAGCCGCAGTCCGGTTCTTCCTGGCACTGCAGCATCGCCTGCCAGCAGATCAGGCGCCGGCCGTGAACCCCCGGCGGAGGCGAGGCGGCGCCCAGCAGCAGCACCAGCAGCCTCAGCCCCAAGGCAGCCAGTCGCGGGAGCGGCGCGGTCCGTAGGCATCGTCCTCCTCCCCGCCAGGCTGCCACCATCGCGGGCAGCCGCAGGGCAGTCGTGGTCGGAAAGCGAGCGCGGAGGGACAGGCGGCCCAGCGGCTGCCGAGAGTAGAAAAGTTTGGGCAAGTTCTGCAGAGGGTGTGCATGGGGGTCGCCCTCATCAATCCATCCGCCCGGCGCCCGTCCGCGGCCTGGGAATCTTCCTTCGGGAACGGTTTTTTGAGAAAAGCCCAGAAAAGCGGCGCCTTCTTCCTTTTTTGCAGCCCGACAGCCTCCGCCCCTTACTCCCGGGATGAGGAGGCCGGGAGGAGGCGGCGAAAGAAGCCTGGAGCTGTGGGGTGGTGGGCTCCCTGCTGAGTCGGAGCGGCGGCTTCCTTCCTTCTCATGCCGAATTTCTTTCTTGGAGCTCAGCGCATCACTTCACATGCCGAGTGGCCGCGCTGAACTTCTCCCCAGCCCCGGAGGCGCGCTGAGCCTCCACTGTTGGAGCAAAAGGAGGCAGCCGGACTCACCGCGGGTCCCCGAGCTCTCCCTTCGGCTCCCCTCGCCGCCGACCTCCCGCGATCCGGCGTTTCTTCCTCTCTTTGCCGACACTTTTGACGAGCTGTTTTCTTTCGCGAGGCTTTAAATACAAAAGTGCTCTCCACGCAGCGGCAGCAGCGTGTTCTGATCCGGCCTCATTATGCATGCATGGAAAAGCAAACAAACAAAAAAAATTAGCAACGCTTCCCCTCCTTATTACACATCCCCCTTGGCTGGAGCCCTCCGACTGATTCGCTCTTTCTCCTCTTCTCCACTCCCCCTCTGGTCGCTCCGCCCCTTTCCCTCGCTACGCGACCCGCCATTGGTCGGGCCGCCGTTGACACACCCCCTTTCCCCCCTTTTCTTTCTTTACGATCCCTAGGAAAGAAGGAAGAGGGGGGGCTCCGGGGGGCTAGTGGGCTGCTCACATTCAAAGCTTGAAAGGAAAGGCTTAAAAAGATTGACAGTAGCCCCCCGAGGAACCCACCCACCCCATCCTCCTATTAAGGAAGTTCCTCCACGCTGCTTCCTACTGAGGGCAAAAATGCAGAAAAGGCGAAAGTTAGCGGCTGCTCTTCCATTAACGCCTGCTAAGAGCGCCTTACGCTAAAAGGAACTTGGGGAAGATAAATGAAAGTGCCCAACGCTCTTCATCATCATAAAGAGTTGCGCACTTGTTTCACTTCGAGTAGTTCCAGAGAGGTGGGTCGCTGCCTGCTCTGACCAAAAGGGGTGGGGGGACTGAAAGTGTAAGTTGCTCTGTGGGGATCCGGGAAGCCCGTTAATAACACACACTCAGGGTCAGGGTCTACACCCGCGCCTACCTCTCCTGACGTAGGACCGGTCCCCCTAAAACTTTCACTGAACTTTCACTTGAGACCGTAGAAATCCACCACCAGCCACCCCGTTGCCTTCTGTTTAACAGGTTTGAACTCTTAATCTGTAGGAACCCAGGGAGGAAAAGTATAGGAGCGACTTAGCTAGAAGAATTGATTCTGTATATAAGAGGAGAGGTCTCTGAACGAGGTTCATAATCATTCCTGGGGGGAAAGCTGTACAGCTCTAAAAGCGTCCATGTTGAAAGGCGGAAAGCAAAGAATGGGGCGTGTTGTGGTGGGTTTAAGAACCCATAGATTGACATAAGCGTTAAGGTGACCATGCTCAAATAGGAGACTGTTACTTAGGCATGAAAGTTGGTTCGGTGACTTTGGGTCAGTCGCTCACTCTCAGCCCAACCCACCTTACAGAGTTGTTGTGGCGAAAATAGGAGGAGGAAGGAATGCTAGATATGTTTGCTACCTGGGGTTACCTATACAAAGTTATAGAAGCAGATAAAAAAAATAAACAAATAAATATATATCCATCCTATGATCTCACATTAGTACATGTTTAAGGACAAGAGGTTAGTAAACATGAAGAGGGGAGATGAAAATTGGTATCCTTCAGCTTTGCTGCTAATACATCTTGAATGTATGTTTGTGTGTGTATGTGTGTGTGTGTTTCTTTTAGTGCTACCTTAAATTTGACTGTTGCAAATATCTTTTGACCGCAAGGGGCATCAGTGTCTGCTGAGTGTCAAGAGGCAGCTTTGTGGCTTTTACAGGAACGGAGCAGCTCCATCTGTCAGAAAAATCACGGCTAAAGCTATTTTCCAGAACTAAAGGGAGCCTGAATTTGTAGGATACAAGTTGTCTTAAAATCTCAAATTAGTATAGACATATCCTACAATTAGGAATCCCTATGACAGAATCTGTTTCAAAAGTAATCCCAATGAGCAAACTATTTTCTCTGAATCTGTTTTCACATTAGAAAAACAATCTCACAAACATTTTTCTCCGTGCCCCACCTCCCGCCCCAGGGGCTCATTTTACCCAATGTTTTAGGATCTGGAATTTGATTTGGGAGAAATCAGCCTGTCCTTGTGTACTTGGGAGAAGATCTCCCCAGAACTCAATCTGGTTTTCTTTCAAACAGCCTTTTTGTATACAGTAATATCTATTGCAGAGCATCACATAACAGTTTCCCTGTTTCTACTACAGAGCAGTATTACATTTCTAAGTGAAGTACTGTATGCTCTTCAAAGGAGCTGAAAAGTGTGTGCAACCTCTGCATTTTTACTTCACAACACCAGGATGTGAGATGACTTGGTTGTCCGTAGACACCATATTGGTTAAAATGACAGCTTGAATTGTGTCTTTCTTGAACTTAGACTGACAAAAGTGTGACCTTCCCATAGTTGTCCAATCTCTGACTTACTGTATTTTTCGGAGTATAAGACGCACCCTTCCCTCAAAAAGATTGAGAAAATCTGGGTGCGTCTTATACAATGAATACAGCATTTTTGGCCTCCCGAAACCCCGCCCCCTTTTCAAAAATGGATGTGCAGAGGGTTTGGAAGGCCTGCAAATTGCTCCTTGGGGCTGAGGAGGGCAAAAACGAGTGAAAAATTGGCTTTTTTGCTTGTTTTTGTCCTTCCCAAACCCTAGGAGCACTCTATAAGCCTCCCAAAGCTGATGCATGCCCTGGGTTGGTTTTTTTTTTTGCAAAAAAAACAGGCCCGTTTTTGTGAAAAACGGACCATTTTTCTCTCGTCGTCCCCCCCCCCCCCCAGCATCCAAGTGCAATTTGCAGGCCTCTCAAACTCTCTGCATGCCCTGTTTTTCCCAAAAAAACGAGGTGTGCAGAGGGTTTGGGAGGCCTGCAGAATGCAAAAAACTTTTTTTAAAAAAAATTTACATCTTCAAAATCTTGGTGCATCTTATGTTCCTGTGCGTCTTATAATCTGAAAAATACAGAAGTTCAAGTTCACTCTTTTTTGGGCTCAAGTTGTTGGTTATAGCACTTTTAAGACAGATCTCTGCTATGCTGCTATGTAGACTGGCTTTTCTGACCACAGCATAACACTGTTCACTGTTTGTAATCACAAAATTCAAAGAGGAGTCTGCAATTCAGATTTTGGCTTTGGTCTCCAACACCCGCTTGTCCTAAGTTTGCCATCTTTGAAAAACTAAAAATGAAATTTGTACAACTTAAAATGTTACATGAATTATAAGTAGAGCAGCACCGTGTTTAAACCTGCAAAAACCAGGATTAGTGACCTAACTAAAACACAAGAGATATAATTACCTACATTTATATCCATTAATTAGCAGTTCATCCACTTAGGTAGAAACCACTTATTATATAATGTTAATAGTTCATCCAGCTGGGTTAAATGTTAGAATTCCTGCCAACTTTTATTTAATTGGAAAAGAGATCATATTGAATGATAAGATTTAGCTCATGAGCAGTTTCAATTCAGTCCTGCACAATTTACGATATGTCAAGCCAACAAAGTCCAGCAGTTTAGATTGCAACCAAGGATCAGCGCTTGGCAACGTCCTGTGACTCTAAAACAATAGAATTGCCAACCATTTCCCAAAGCATCACACACAGTAGGCAAAGTGGACTCCATATCTCTGAGACAACGAATTGTGTTCGCTTAGTCAGCGTTACTGATTTAAAAAGGCAAAGATGTCCTCCAGTTGTGTTCTTGGTTTATGTGTACAGTACATGTCTGTACTGTTTTCTGACCTCTCCCTTTTTCGAGAGTATGTTTTGTTGTGGGAACCTTTGGTAGTCTCCTATTCAAGTGTTAATCAAGTCTGATCCTGCAGAGTTCCACGTCCAGATGTGGTCAGCCCCGTGCTGCCCTATGTTCGGACATTGATTAGGACTATGCCGAGATCCATATCAGAAGAAAAATATACCAGGAACATCTTAAACCAAACAGTTTCCCCCCCTCAAAGATCTCATGAAAACTATAGAGGAGAGCTACTTGATGCCAGGAAAAGACCTAGGTCAGGGGTGTCAAACTTGCATCATTACGGCGGCATCATATGACATATTACGACTTTTTTCCTTCGCTAAACCAGACATGGGTGTGGGTGTGGCCAGCACGTGATGCATCTGGCTTGCAGGTTTGACATGCATTTGACACCCATGGCCCAGAGGTGGCATTTAGCCGATTTGGACCAGTTTGCCCAAACCAGTAGCCCCCCTACCCGCCCTGGCTCTATGCCATCCTATTTAGGCGTGTTTTTGAGGCCGGGAAGGCCAGGTGCCAGTGGTGGGTTTCAAAAATTGTTCGAACCTACACCATGGGTGTGGCCTCCTTTGTGGGAGTGGCTTGCCACCCATGTGACCAGATGGGAGTGGCTTGCCATCCATGTGACCAGATATGAAGATGCCGATGATACCTGTCAGAACCACCTTAAATTACCTTACACACAGTACTGGCATGCATAAGAATATGATGT